GACAGTGGCAGGGATAGCAGAGTATGGAGGCTCTAGTGGGAGAGGAAGGCTGTCTACCTGACGAGTTTGTATTCATGCTCAGATGGCGAGGAGCTCAGAAGGTGGGTGACTGTGACCAGTGATAGTCATGTATATAGAGATTAGAAACACATGTGCATCTTAGTGTCAGTTGTGTTAAAAAATGAATTTTTCTGTATGAAACTGTATTTTAACAATAAAATGGAGATCTTTTTTAAAGTTTTAAATGTCATTTAATTTTGTCTTATAGGGTTTAGACAGAATACAATATTGTATAACTATTTAATTCAACTATATACCTAAAAATTTACAGCTAATTTTGAAAGAGATGCATCTTAGCTCTGGAAATTGTTATTGAAAATGTCAATGCTGTTGAAATGAAATGCTTCTTCTAATTATATGGTTATTAAATAAATTTTTTTTAATTTTTTAAAAAAGGTAACCTTTCTGATCTAATCTTTACTTCACAGAAAGAAAAACCTGGAAATTAGAGATTCCAAGAGGTTCTACTTGTAGAATATAGCTCAGAGCTATCAACTCATAAAACACAAAACCATTCCTAAGTTACACACATACTTTATTTCTGAAAAGAACAAGACAGAAGATGACTTAAATAGTTTATTTTTTTTTAAGTGGTTAATTTTTCAAGGTCATGATTGTAGAACAAAGAGGTAACATATCTCCTTTTCCATAACCATGCTTTTTAACTTTCTGCACAAAATTAATTAGCTAATGATATAAAAACAGGTGAGCAAACTGTCTCCAAAGGGCTAGATAGTAAATATTTTAGGTTTTATAGGCTATGTATGGTCTATCATGCAGTCTTTTATAGCCTTTTAAAAATATAAAAACCAGTTCTAATTTGCCCCATACAAAAAACGACTGGGCCAACCCCTGGTATAAAATATGTGTCTTGTAGAGAACCTGCTTCCGGCAGGCTTTTGATAGCTGTTGTCTGAAGTAGAAAGGCTTTATTCACAACTGCACATGGCTTGTGATGCATACTGGAGAGTTTCCACTCACTTCTGAGTCTCCCAAGCAAGTTTCCCATTCACTAGGTTCATAAATTTGTTAACCACCTACTATGTACTCTTAAGTATCTGTGTTAACAAATTTTCCAGTGTTTTTCTTCTAAAAGGGTAATTCCTTCAGTTTCTTTAAATGAGGAATTAAGTCTTAATACTCATGTTGCAGGTCTGTCCAACCTGGGTGGAGGACAGCTATGAGTATGGCCTAACACAAAATCGTAAACTTACTTAAAAAACGTGAAGGTTTTTATTTGCAATTTTAAAAAAGTCATGTTGGACATGACTGTACAGTAAATCAGGGTTAAAACCAAAGAAGACTCAAGGTAATTCATGATTATAAAAAATTAATCTAGTCAGGCCAGCACTCTGAAGGCAGAGGCAAATGGATCTCTGTGAGATTGAGGCCAGCCTGGTCTAAAAAAAAAAAGATTAATCTAGCCTAACAATGATTCCTTATAGTTCATACTGATAATCCTTCTTAAAGTCACAGACTGTGTGAGGAAAAATGGGTAGCTCATTATTTAAAAAGATACTTTCTCCTACCATAGGTTGAAGTTTTTTGTTTTCCTTCAGTGCTGGGAATCGAACCCAAGGCTTTATACATGAGAGGCAAGTACTCAACACTGAACTACATCCCCAGCCCAGCTTGAAACATTTTGTTAAAAATATTCTTAGATCTGTCACATCCCCAAATAATTTCTTCCCACTTTCCTAATTTTGCTGTCATATAACATAAAATCCAGATCCAGGTAGGGCTCTATAGCTGTCAGTCGTAAAAATACCACTATAGTCAGGGATGGTGGTTCATGCCTGTAATCACAGCACTGGGAGGCTGAGGGAAGATTTCCATGAGTTCAAGGCCAGCCAAGATTACAGCATGAAACCCTGTCTCAAAAGCAAAACAAAAAACCCCAGTACATTTAGGGGCACATGTTGCCTCTGAGGCTATTTGTATTTCCTTTTTATCTTAGAAGGGTCATGATTTCTCCAATGAAAGCTTTAACTATTAACTTTCTGAATCCTTTTAAAAGGGAAGACCTTTAAAAAAAAAAAAAAGCCAAAGAGCATAGAACTTCAGTATTAAAATATAAAGGTTACCCCAATTCCAGATCTTTGGTACAGACACTGACTATAAGTGATTGCCCACACCACCAAGCCATGGCACATTTGTTAGAAGTGATTGTGATTTTCCTTTTGACTGTAATAAAAAAGGGGGAAAAGCTTGGGAAGGTCTGGGAGATGCAACAGTCTCTCATTTCTCTTAAATACACATAGGCTCTATCAGTCCACAGACAGCATGGAGTGGGCTGAGGTTATCGCTTTCGCTCCCCTCTCTGTGTCCTTTTCTTTTCCTTTTCCTTGCGCTCCTGCTTGGCTAGTTTGTCCCTCTCCCTCTGTAGCTTGTCCTGTTCCTTCTTCCTTTGGGACTCATCCCGAAGTGAGTCTCGCTCCAGTTTCCGAGCATTGAGAACATCTTCCACGTTGGTGTTTCGGAACAGGGCTACGGGTGAGTTAAGGGATTAAGGTAAGAGTCACAGGCTAGGACTCCTGCTCCTTCCTCCTTCTGGTGGCCCCATCTCCACATGGAGAGCCCTAAATGCTCTCTAGCTATTCCTGGTCTTAAAAATGAATCCTGGCATGAGGGGGTGGCTGGAGAGATGGCTCGGCGGTTCAGAGCACTGGCTACTCTTGCAGAGGGCCTGGGTTCTGGGTTCAATTCTCACCACCCACATAACAGCTGACAACCATCCAATGCCCTCTTCTGACCTCTGTGGGTACTGCACAGCATAGGTGTACTTACATTCATGCAGGCAATATACACATAAAATAAAAAAATTTTTTTTAAAAAAAAGTATCAATGTGACTGGCGAAATGCTTAAGTACTTGGCACTATTAAAAAGCTTTAAAATGAGGCTGGGTATGGTGGTGCATGCCTTTAATAGGATTAATTAATTAATTGCACTTCCAGGTCAGCCAGGGCTATAGGGAGACCCTGTCTTTAAAAAAAAAAGGCTTAAGCTGGGGTGGTGCATGCCTTTAGTCCCAGCACTCTGGAGGCAGAGGCAGGTGGATCTCTGTGAGTTTGAGACCAGCCTGGTCTACATATTGAGTTCCAGGCCAGATGGGGCTACAGGGAGATCTTGTCTCAAAAGGCTTGTGAAATGGCTCCAGCCCTTAAAGGTTAAAGCTAACCACCGAAACACCAAGTATGAAAATAGTTAAGGGTTATTCTTACTGAATTTTATTAATTTGATCCTCCCCCCCAGGCTACTAAACATAATGAAAACCATGTTATACTGTAAACGCTGAATTTATTAAACATGTTTAACAACAGAAAATAAGCAGGCAAAAACTTTATTCCTTATTTCCTTTAACTTTAAAAACAAAACCAGACAAGCTCCTCTATACTCTTTGTTTTATTTTATTTATTTATTTTTTGGTCTTTTTGAGACAGGGTTTCCCTGTAGCCTGGCTTATACTCATTTTTTAAAAAAGATTTATTTTTATGTGTATGAGTGTTTTGCTTCCCTGTATCTTTGTGTACCACAGGCGTGCACTGCCCATGGAGGCCAAAAAAGGTTGTTGGATCCCTTGGAACTGGAGTTACCGATGGTTGTTAGGCACCATGTGGGTAACAGAGAACCAAACCCAGGTCCTCTACAAAAGCAGCCAGTGCTCTTAATTGTCAAGCCATCTCTCCAGCCCCCTCTATACTCTTAAAAAAAGAATTTTCTGGGCTAGAGAGATGGCTCAGAAGCTAAGAGCACTAGCTGCTCTTGTAGAGGACCTGGGTTCGAGTCCCAGTACCCACATGGTGCCTAACAACCAACCGTCTGAAACCCGAGTTCCAGGGGATCCCACACCCTCTCCTGACCTCCACAAGGCATTGAATGGCACAGGTGTACTTATATACATGCAGACAAGACACTCATACACATAAAAATATTTTTTAAAAAAACAAAAAACCCCAAGACTTTTCTACTTTATACTATAAAATAAATGAGTCTCAAGCTAGGGAGACAGGTCAGTGGCAAAGCACTTGTCTAAGCACACAGAAAGCCCTGGGTTCAATCTCTGGCACCAAAAATGAGTCCCTCAAATATCCCTTTCACTGAAAATCCACCATACCGCTCACCTGAGGTGATTTCTAAACCTACCTTCAATAGGAAACTTCTCAGAGTGACCTGTTAGTGGGGACCTTCCTCAATACACATTTCAATTTTGGTATTTTTAGCTTCAAGAATTCAGTCTTTTGTGTTCTCTTTCCAAAAGATTACAAAGTTTTTTAGAACAAAGTTTTATTATTTACACAGTCCTGGGCAACTCAGAGCTGCAGGAAGTACAGCTTATTTCCTCTTAGAAATCCTCCCCTAGTTGGATGTGGTGGCACATGACTGTGCTCACAATACTTAGTAAGTAAAGGCTAGAGAAAAGGAGTTCAAGGATAGCTCCAGCTACATAACAAGTTCCAGTTTAGACTTGGGCTACATGAGACTGTCTCAAACAAAATCAGGCCAGGCATGGTGGCACATGCCTTTAATCCCAGCACTCGGGAGGTAAAGGCAGGCGGATCTCTGTGAGTTCAAGGCCAGCCTGGTCTACATAGTGAGTTCCAGGATAGCTGGGGCTACAGGGAGACCCTGTCTCAAAAAGACAAAAAAAAAAAATCAAACAACAAAAACACCTCCTCCAGGCTGGAGAGATGGCTCAGTGGTTAAAAGCACTGACTGCTCTTGCAGAGGACCCTGGTTTGGTTCCCAGCACCTATATACTGGCTAACACAATCTGTAACTCCAGATCCAGGGGATCTGATGCCCTCTTCAGGCTTCCATGGGCACTGCATGACATGGGTGCATATACATACATGCAGGCAAGATATTCATACACATAAAAATAAATTTTTAAACAAACCTCCTTGCTAGGTATGGTGCATGCCTGTAATCCTAGCATTTGGAGGGAGAGGCAGGATAAGGTGTTCAAAGTCATTCTGGCTATGTAGCAGGTTAGAGATCAGCCTCATACTTGTTAACTTGTCTTCTTTGGGGGAAGGGCCCAAGGTGACTATCTAGGGCTCCCAATGTTGGCATGGCATGACTTCCTTAAAGATAAAGGGAGCCCTTAGCAGTGACAGCAAAACAAATCTCCAGGAGAGCTCTGTAGGAAAACAGATGGGGACACAGAAAGAGGATACATTTGTCAGAACCGAGGTTCACTGTGGAGGCACCGGAACCATCTTTCTCATCTGCTTCAGTGAGTGGTGTTAAGGAAAATCAGATGGCAAACAAGGCTTCACACGTCTCAAAATGGGTTTGAAAAGCATCCAATAGACATGGGTAGGAAAAGCACTCACAAGAGAGGGCGAACAGGGTCACAGGAGTGAAAGGAAACCCAGGAGACTCATCTTTGCTTTAGGGGAAAGTCTCAAGCTAGAACATCCTGTTTATTCTTAGAGGTTAAAAAGAACTTCAGTTGCTGGATAGACTGCCACATTACCTAAAACCTGGGGGACACTGAGATGAACTCTCAAACAGTATAGCTCAAAGCCAGGCTCTGCCTGATAGGAAGTTCCAGGTCACCACAGGTTACATGAGCCTGTCACAAACACATACATGTAATTCTCAGAGCCCTCAGGAACCTGATGTGAGAAATATACATTCTAGAGTGCAATCTCAAACCTACTCTATCAGAACTTCTGGGGTAAAGGACAGAAATCTGTATTTTAACCCATCTTCTGGAGAACTAGTGCTTTGAAAGTTCCCTTTAGAAGAGAGAAGGGTGATACCACACACCTCAGATAAAAGCCTCTGTGACAGTTACTCCAGATTGTCACTTTGATGAGATTTAGAACAACCACAGAAACAAACCTCTGGGAATGTCTTCAAGAGTTTCTAGATGAGTTGACTTTAAATGTGGGCAGCACCGTTCCTTGGGCCAGGGCCCTGGACTGAATCAAAAGGAGAAAGCGAGCTGAGCCCCAGCCTCTCGCTGCTTCCTGACTGTAGATGAGATGTGACCAGCTGTCCCCTGCTCCTGCCACCATGCCTTCCTCACCACTGGACTCAATCAATTCAGACTGTAAGCTGAAAGAAACATTTCTTCCTTTTAAGTTGCTTCCTGTCCAGTGTTTGGTTACAGCAATGAGAGAAGTAAAAGTGTCACACAAAGTCAAGGAATCATGACACTTTCTAGTTCTAGAATCAACCAACGCTCCATTAAGGCATTATTTTACAGTAAAAATTTCAGGCATACAGCAATTATATTTTGAAGATGTTGTGCTGTGTCAAGTTTTCCAACATCATTTCTCATACCTACAAAGGCCCAAAATCACCGCCATTTTGAAAGAGAAAATTAAGCTGTGAGGGGGACTGCAACCGCACAGAAGTCCTGTCAACAGTCAAGCATCTCAGCTGGAGCTTCATGGACAGTGCTGAGACTCCAAAAAGGATATTCCTCTTCGTCTGTCACATCAGCATACTGGGCCAGCAGGGCCGCTTTTCTCTGCTTCTCCTCTTCTGACACCATCCTGGGCTTTACCACAATCTGGGCCTGCTTCTCAATTAGGGTGGCAATGGCCTGAACTTCATCTGGGAGATGGTGGGAGGGATAAGAATGATGCATGAGTGAAAACAAGTTCACCAATCACTGGTCCATCTATCCAAGTGTTTGCACTAACGACACGAGCACCTGCTGTTCCCTTAAAGCCCTGGGGTTCAAAAATCAAGCTTCAGGGGTCACTAAGGAAACCAAGGTAAGGCTATGCAAGTAGACATCTGGTCTTGCTTTAAATTACGTTTATTTATTATTTATTTGGGGGGCACACCACGGCGCATGTGTAGAAAGGTAACAATTTTGGGAAGTTGGTTCTCTTCTACTTTTAATTTTTTTTTTTTTAATTTTATGTGTATGCCTGTATTGCATGCATGTCAGTAAGCGCACCCATGTTGTGCAGTGCCCACAGAGGACAGAAGAGGTTGTCAGATCCCCTGGAACTGGAGTTACGGACAGTTGTTAGCAGCCATGTGGGTGCTGGGATTCAAAACAGGATCTTCTGCAAGAAAAACCAGTGTTCCTAACTGCTGAGCCATCTCTCCAACCCCTTTTTGGGTATTTGTGAGACAGGGTCTCCTTGTAGTCCCATCTGTGTAACCTGGAATGTAGACCAGGTTGGCCTCAAACTCACAGAGATCTGCCTGCCTCTGCCATCCAAGTGCTGGAACTAAAGGTGTGAGACACCACGCCCAGCTCTCTCCTACTTTTATGTGAGTGTTACAGATGGAACTCAGGTTGCAGGCCTGTGCAGAAAAGCATTTTTACCTGTTGAGTCATCTTGTCTGCCCCAGAGGAACTTTTTAAAAACACTAACGCCTGGGGCTAGAGAGATGGCACAGCAGTTATAAGAGCACACACTGCTCTTGAAAAAAGCAAAACCCCAAGTTAGTTCCCAGCACCCAGGCCAGACGACACAACTGCCTGTAACTCCAGCTCCAGACGGATCCGATGCCTATGGCCTCCTCAGGCACCTGTACTCTCATGCACATAAGCCATATACAGACACATACACATAATAAAAACTGAAAAATAAATCTTAGAAAAACAAATCAACCCATATATACCAAGTGATTCTACAACATAGTCAAGACTGGGAACTAACTATATAATTTAGACCAAATTCTCTACAAGTTTGGCTTCTATGTTTTGAGTTTTCTATAGCTAACTTACCATCCTCATGAGCATATACGCTCCTTCCTCTTTCACTTCCAAGGGTGAAGGATTTAGTCAAATAAAGCAAAATCTCAAGCATAATTTGTGCTATCAAGTGAGAATGGGGAAAAGGTGGATGGGCTGTTGAGATGACTCAGCAGGAAAAGGGTCCTACCACCAAGTTTGAGCCCCGGGCCCCATATGGTGGAAGGAGAGAACCAACTCCCAAAAGCTGTCCTCTGCCCTCCACATGCATGCCATGGCACACTCATGCCCTATGATGGTTTGAATAAGAATGTCCCCCATAAGCTCCAAGTATTTTGACATTTTTGTCCCCAGTTGGTGGTGCTGTTTTGTGAGGTCCTAGAAGGTGTGGCCATGTTGAAGGAAGCACGTCACTGGGGGCGGGCTTAGAGAGTTCTTAAGCCTTGCCGGATCTCCAGTTGCGGCTCTCTTGCTTCCTGTGCCTGCTTGAAGATGTGAGTGCTCTGCTTTCTGCTACTCCTCCAGCCACCTGCCACCATGCCTCCCTGCCATGACGGACTGTAATTCCCCTGGAACCATAAGCACAAATAAACTCTTCCTTCTATAATTTGCTTTGGTCAGTGTTTCTATCACAGCAACAGAAAAGTGATTAATACATACTCAGACACATACATATACACACATGTACACAAAATAAATATAAATAAAAATACAGAAAACATTTTTAAAAGATGGGAAGTAGGACTGGAGTGATGGCTCAGTGGTTAAGAGCTCTGGCTGCTCTTACAGAGGACCTGGGTTCAATTCCCAGCACCCACACGGCAGCTAACAACCATCTGCAACTCCAGTTCCAGGGGACTGGATGCTCTCTTCTGTCCTCCGTGGGCACTACATGACACAGGTGCACTCATACACACAAAATAAAATAAAAATAAATAAATCCCCCCCCCAAATTTTTTTAAGTGGGAAGTGAGAAAGTATCACTGACCCTACACCTGTACTCAAATCTACAAGAGACATGAGACTGGGGGGAAAAGTAAAACTAAAATGAAGCAGGTATGAGTGAGGGGCTGCAGCCAGAGGAGAAGGAATTCAAGCCAGCCTGGCTATACAAAGAAACTTGTTTCAAAAAAACAATGAAAGAAGAAACAAAGAAACACACACCACAGTGAATATCATTGTGGTCAGGCTGGAAGGGAAAGATACAAAAGGAAAAGGAAAATCAATGTTAAAGAAAAACTAAAGCAAGATGCTGGGTGTTTCCTAATGGAATTTATCTTAGGAAGGATGAGTATCCAAAAGAGAAAAGGAAACATTCACTCTTCAATAGCTGTACAGGGACAAGCCCTAGAGTTTAGACACAGAAAGACTAACTCCAGGGCCAGAGAGATGGCTCAGCGTAAAGGCACTTGCTCCCAAGCCTTTCAACCTAAGTGCAATCCCTCCCAGGCCCCACATGGTAGAAAGAGAGAACCAATTCCTACAAGTTGTCCTCTGACTTATATATATATATATATATATATATATATGTATATTACTCTTATGCGCGCACACACACACACACACACATTTAAGGGCTGAAGAGATGGCTCACTGGTTAAGAGCACTGGTTGTTTTTGCAGGAGACCTGGGTTTGAATCCTAGCACCCACATGGCAGCTAACAATCCACTGTAACTCCAGTTTCAAGGGATCCTGACACCGCCCCCTTTTGTCCTTATAGACACAGCATGACACAGGTGCACTTAAATACATACAAACATAACACTCAAACACGTTAAAAAAAAAAGAATGTTACAAATAAATGTTTTGCTTTTTTTTTTTTTAAAGGGCAACTCTACCTTCCTTCTTCATTTTGGTGACGACATTTTGTGTTTCTGACCATCGTTCCACAATTTCCTTGCAGATATCAAGGAGGGAATCTTCTTCCTAGTTGGAAAAGGTGCACCAATTAATTTCCCAAGAAAGTCCTCAGAAATGGCAACCTAAAAGAGTCTATGCAGAGGGCACTGCTCTCCCCACTAGAGAAGAAATCCTGGGAAGGGTTTAGGTGCTGCAGAAGAGGGTCCGTTCTCATCCAAGATTTGGGAATCACACTTGCTGCGTCAAGAGTACCCACTCACTCCATCCTGCCCGACTCAGAGCGGCCCTCCTCATGCTTTCATTTTAAAGAAGAAAAATGTTTTATTTTCAAATTGATAAACAATTATATATAGTATATTCATAGAACACAATACACTAAGTCTATTTTTTTATATTTGTGTGTGTGTGTGTGTGTTATGCACACTATGGCACATGTGTGGAAGTCAGAGGAAAACTTGTGGGAGTCGGTTCTCTCTTTCCACCATGTGGGTCCTGGGGATCAAACTTAGGCGGCAAGGCCTTTACCTGCTAAGTCATCTTACTGGCCCAATACTAGTTGATACTGTGGAATGATTAAATCAATATAACAAGTTCCTTATTTCTCTATTTACTAGTTTCTTGTGGGGAAACACTTAAATCTACTCTTAGCAACTGTGAAACAAACAATAATTTGTCATTACATTGTTATTTATGATAGTCTTAACAAATTATGGTGAAAGTTTATTACCCACTTTCCCTTCCCCAATTCTTTCTTCGTTTTTGTTTTTGTTGAGTAAAAACTTGTTGCCTAGGTCAAAACTTTCCCTTGTTTTGTTGGTTTGGTATTTTTTTTTTTGTAGCCCAGGCTGCCCTCAAGCAGCTAAGGTTAGCCTTGAACCACTTGATTCTCCTGCCTCTACCCAAGTGCTGGGATTAAAGGCATGCACCATCACTCCAAGCTTGTTTTGTTGGGGTTTGTTTGTTTGTTTTTTTGGTTTTTTTTTTTTTTTTGGTTTTTTTTTTTTTTTTGGTTTTTTATCTTCTTGAGACAGGGTCTCCCTGTAGCCCCAGCTGTCCTGGAACTCACTATGTAGACCAGGCTGGCCTTGAACTCACAGAGATCCTCCTGCCTCTGCCTCCCAAGGGCTGGGATTAAAGGCATGTGCCACCATGCCCGACTGTTTCGTTGGTTTCTAAGATATGTCTCACACTCTGTAGCCCAGTCTGACCTTGAATTTTCAGCAATCATCCTGCCTTTGCCTCCCAAGTACTAGGATTACTATATACACCACTATTCCAGCTCAAGTTCTTAACTATTGGACACCATCTCCCAAGGGAAAGTGAGAATCAGAACACAGACTTTTCATAGATATTCTTCTTTTGTATCAACAAAAACTTCCCTTTTCCACCTGCATTCTTTTAGCAGATGTGCTAGATATACAGAACTTCTTTGGTTCAGAGTTCCAATAACTTATGGAGTACATACCCCAACAGGAAAAGAAAAATAGTATTAGATAAGGAGGAGAGACTCAAAAGAAAAAGGAGAACCCGGGAGACAAACCAGCTTGTTCTCATCTCCTCACCTAAACCAAAGGAGTTCATTATTTCATGCATTCCTCCAGGGTGTGCCTGCCATATTCAAGGCATGAAGGTGAGAACTAAGAGATGGATTAAAAATTGTGCCTGCCTTCTTGACTCTAAAAAGTTAGAAGGCAGCACATTAACAGCTGCCATAAACACACCCTGGATATCCCACCTGAAACTCCAATCTATACCTACATTTCTGATCAACTCCCGTTGCACCCTTTTCAAATCCAGAACTTACCACTTTCTAACACAATATACTCATTTAGTGGTAAGGCTTCTCTCTTCTAGAATGGAACCCCATGATAGTGGGGATTTCTGACTGTTTTGTTCCTGCAAGCATTATGAACAGTGTCAGGAAGGAATTCCATCAACAAAAAACAAACATAATGCATCATCAGTCAAGCCATGCACATGCTACTGGAGGGAACAGGGTGAGAGAATGCTTTTATTTAGTCCTGATTGTATACTACCACCTTAATAGTACCTCAAATTCTTGGTAACAAATTTCATAATTCCTAACGGTGAATTGTAGTTCAGTCTGGTGACTGGCTATACTTTTTGTTTTGTCTAGAAAGGGATTCACTACAAAAGTCAAGGGCCTCTAGCTGTCAAACAGAACTATAAATTCTGTGTTTAATATAGACCATATTCTTTGGTCCTTTTTGCTCTGTAAAAAAATGTTCTCCACTGCTTTATGAACAGGACTCCTGCCTTAGTATATGATTCCTGGAAATTCTTCCCACAGTCAGTTTACATATAGATGGGAGTCAGAATTCTAACTATGAGAAATTAAACATGGTGTGAAAGTTGGACAGAGTAAAGGAAATCACCCTTTTGTCTTTTGCAGTTTAAGCAACAAGAGACAGAGACAGAGAACCAAATACGTCTCCATTTAATTTTGCCTCTTTTACCAGGAGCCTGTTAAGAATCTGAAGCATGGCCAGGCGTGATGCAGGTGGATCTCTGTGAGTTCAAGGCAAGCCTAGTCTACAGAGTGAGTTCCAGGCCAGCTGGGGATACAAGGAGACCCTGTCTCAAAAAGACCAAAAAAAAAAGAGCAAACATATGCTTCTCTTTATCAATAGACACAATGCTCCATCAAAGACAAAGGGAAAAGACTAGCTAAAGAGCTAGTACTAAGAAGCATCACAGTTATTTTTTTATTATTTTTTTTATTTTATGTGTATGGGTGTATTGCCTGCATGTATGTGAGTGTACCCGTGTCATGCAATGCCACGGAGGTCAGAAGAGGGCTTCAGACTCCCCTGGAACTGGAGTTAAGTACAGTTCATAGCCACCATGTGGGTGCTGGGAATCGAACCCGGGGCCTCTGCAAGAGCGGTCAGTACTCTTAACCACTGAGCCATCTCTTCAGCCCACATCACAGTTATTTTACCAACTTCCTCACCAACTCCTTAGAAACCTCCTAGCTGCAAATACAAATGAAAATTCCTTACCAAGTCTTATGCCTCCTCTAATCTTCAATTCAGGATCCAAGGAAAGAATTTACTCTGTTGTATTCCCACAGAACTTCTAAGCTGCCTCACAAGACATATTAAAGCTTTTCCATTTATAGACCAAGAGGTTCTTGCCAAAGGGATCAGGGACAGCTGCACCGGTGTTATATTTTAAGCGTGTGTTCAATGAACTGTACTTGAGTATGAACCTAGCATGTGTCCCATATCCAAGAATTATTTTTGGATTGAACTGATATCTGTGTTCATCATACCTTTTGATTCTAACAGTCCCTGAAAACTGACTTTAAGGACAACAAATGAACCCATTCTCCAAACCTTTGATATAGTTTGGTTTCCAAGCACTCCCCTAAATGAGGGTAAAGACAACTGTTTCTACAATATTTAGTGAGGATGCAAGTAAATTTTACTTTTGAGTCTGCTGTATTTAAAAGGAAACGCTTTGCAGGACAGTCACAGACAACACATGTAACCAATCTAATCTATAGTAGCCAATGAATTAACTCTGTTGGGAGCCAGACAAGTAGAGACGCCCCACAAATGATCAGATGATCAGATTGGAAAAGTGGTAATCTTGGTCACTTGCTAAATAAACACAACTTTAAAGTACACATTTCTGAATTCATAAATCTCCCCTTTTTGTTGTTGTTTTGTTTTGATGGGGGTCTGGATTTGTAAGCTCGGGCTGGCCTTGAACTTGCTATCCTCCTGCCTCAGTTTCCCAAGTGCTGGGATTACAGACATGCATCATGCCACAGCCAGCATGAATCTGCTTCTAAGAGGCTAAATACCAAATTTGTTTTTCTGATCTTAACATCAATAATTACTGAATTGCTTACCAGGTGTGGTGGCCCATGCAGTTAATACCAGCACTTGAGAGGCAGAGGCGGGCAAAGTTCTGCGACATGGAGGCCAACCTGGTCTATAACAGTGAGTTCCAGACCAGCTGGGACTACTAGGAGACCCTGTCCCCAAAAAACAAAGGAAAAAAAAATTACTGAATTTTTAAATATTTGCTTCAATTATGCCCACCATGAAGGGGCCTCCACCACCAGCTTAACCTTTTTGGAACTGCAACCTGTGAAATAGGAACCAAGAGGGAATTCCTATAGGTGGTGGTGTGGTGAGAGAGGGTGAGAGAGAGAGAGAGAGACAGAGACAGAGAGACAGAGACAGAGAGAGAGCGTCCTGGGACTTCCCTCCTAAAGGGCAGACATCTTTGCAAACGGGAGACAGAGACAGAGAGGGAGAGAGGGAGAGACAGAGACAGACAGACAGAGAGACAGAGAGAGAGCGCCTTCCCTCCTAAGGGGCAGCCATCTTTGCAAACGGATGGGGATGTAATCAGTAGTTAGAAGTTTATGATAAAACTCTATTTAAACATTTCAGTGTCTTCAGAACACTTTCCAACTCACCCAAAGGCATCCCAGGGGACCTTGTTCCCAGGAAGAAGGGCAGATCATTCCTCTCTATGCACCTGCAACTTTCAGGCTTCCCAAAATCCGGGTCAGGAGCAACATACTTCTCCCTGGCCCCAGAGCTCGGATTACGCTTCTTCCGTGTGAGCCCCCTAAACTGCGGTGACAGCCACAGAAGTGGGCTGCGAAGTAGCGACAGTTGTACTCAGACCTCAGGTTCACCGAGTGTGTCCGGGGCTACTCACCAGGAACGCAGAGAGGATGCCCTGCAGAGCGTCCAGCTTCTCCTCCTCCTCCTCCTCCTGCAGGACACCAAGGATGTAGGCGCCGTAAACCGCTCGGTCTACTCCCAGGGCGTCCAGCCGCTGGTCCAGCCAGGACCCAAAACCCCCGCCATCACCCTCGCCTTCGCTGGAGGCCGCGGCCGTCACTCCGCTGGGCGCCGCCATGTTGGCTCAGGGTCCTATGGACCCAGAGCGTCTACCGCAGTGCCTGACGGGCCGCGCGGCGCGGGCCCAGTACGCATGCTTGGAGAGACGGAGCACTGC